CGGGTCCCAGCCAGAGATAGCTGCTCACCTCCTCCTGGCCACTGCGCCCCTGGCTGGCCTGCACGAGGGGACCTGGGAAAGCTCTAGAAAATGGAATTCAAGTACTTTCATATTTTTAGATTTTTGCTATAGGGCATATGCAGGCACCAGAGAGAGATGAAGGGGGGAAGAAAGTGAGGTTCCCTTCCACTGGGGAGATGCCACGCTACAACCCCTCCTCCACCATCTTCCTCTGGAGGTTTCGGACATGCACACACATACGCCCTGCGTGTTTTTCAAGCCGCCGAGTCCAAGACTTGAACCAAAGAGTTGGCTATGTGGGATCCAGTGCCTTAACCACAGTGCCACCAACGGGCCTTAGACCTGCATTGTTTTAGTGCAACAGTTTGGGAATTCAACCCTCTCTTTTAATAAGATGCATTTTCCATGAACTTGTTGAAGGCCGTGTAGCTCCAGAACCGTCTCATATTTGAGTTGACAGCGAGCCACTAAGGCTGGGCACAGACAGGCTCCACACGGCACGCTGGGCTCCAGCCTCAAACCTGCTTCTGACAGACACACCCGAGCGCCCTCACCCCTCACATCAGCTGGTCCTCGGAATTCTCCCGCGTGTCTGCCCCGTCAGCACTTAGTTTCCAGTAAAAACAGAAGTCACATCTGGGTCATGCTCACGGGGGAACCGGGGTGAACACAGAGTTTTTGTTTTTAGTTTTTTCTAAATCAGATAGCCACAGAAACTGCGAAGCAACCTACTAAAAGCACAGTACGTGGCCGAATAGCATTTTCTTTAAACATGAGGTCCCTCAGTGCTTGAGAAAAGCGACTTCAGGGTCAGGCTAAGCGTGACAAATGCTGGATCCTGGGCAAACGGGCCCACTGGTCAGGGCCTGCGGCCAGGCAGCCTCCGCCCAGACACCTTGGAGCCCAGTCATGGGAAGCCGCATCACCCCGTGTCCGAGCAAGCCAGCTGCTGGAGGTGGAGGAGGCAGGGTACTCACAGGAACTTGCCGTTTGTCTTCGAGCCTATCAGGACAACCTGCTCCGATTCGTCCCGAGAGATCTTTCCGTGGAACCAGGGCATCTTCTCGTGGGCAGTGGTGGCGATCAGCTTCTCCAGCTGAGGCTTCTGGCTGATGATGGCCTGCTCCAGGGCCTGACCCTGCCGCGGGGCAGCGGGCAGAAGGAGACAATCAACACCACACACAGTCGATTCCCATCTGGGGGAGCCCCGGCACCGTTAAACAGGGTCGGACTTACTCTTACTCACTCACTCATTCCTTCAGTAGATGAAACCAGGAAGGCCTTACGGAGCGCCCCATGTATAAATAAGAAAATCAGCTTTGGAATAAGGAGTTGGACCTTCCGAGGCACAAGACTTTGAACCCTTCAGAGGACTGGGTTCCTGCCGCAGGTGCCGTGCCTTGGTGTCCACTGGACCTGATCGTCCCGCATCGCTCCAAACAATGGAGGGCCTCAGCTGCACGCAGCGGTCCCCTGTCCACCCCTTTGTGGCTCCACGCACCCCCTGGCGCCTGGTGCCTTCATAGAACGTGACCAGAGTGTAAATGTGAAAACTCTTGACCACGTGGAAATGACAATAGGGACATCGAGAATGAGAAGGGCGGGTGGAAACTAAATCAATGCCCTCGTCTTTCTTAGTGGGGGAGAAACAGACGTTCTCTACAGCAACTAATGAAGAGCCGAAGTTGACAACTTGCATTGGTAAAGGAAACCAGAAGCGGGGCCAGCAGGTGGTGTGGGGGTTGAGGTGCTGGACTCCCACATGGCTGACTTCGGTTCAAGTCCCAGACCTGACACCTTGCTTTCTCACTTTCCCTCTTCTATCTCTCTAAGGTGAGCAAAATTTAGAAAATAATAATAATAAAAAATAAAATTAAATAATTCTTTTTGAAATCATTCTATAGTTCTTCTTTTTTTAAAAATGAAAACCAGAAGGACTAAAAACAAAAATATAACCAGCCCAAGCCACGTGATGGAAGTTGGAGGGAAACTGAGGACGCTCATTGCATTGTTTCATGGACGGAGAGAAGAGCAGAGCAGGGACACGTTACCCCCTCAGAGGCATCTGAAGAAAGTGGGCAGAGAGGCCCAACATGAAGGGTGGGGGAGACTCAGATGCAACAAAGACAGCCCCAGACACACATGACACAGCTGAGCGGCAGGGGTGGGGTGTTGTGTGGGGGAGCCAGTCTGAGAATGGCTGCATGGCGGGGCGGGGGCACCTCTGTGATGAGACAGAAACAGAAAGTGCCTGCAGGGGTGGGAGGGTGAGGGCGCCTGACAGTGGTAGGTCCATGCCCATCTTGACTGGGGTGGGGTTTGTGATGCTCTCGTGTGTAAAATAATCACACCTAGGGGCAGCAGGGGGACAGTGGTTACAGGGCTGGACTCCCACATGGCTGACCATGGCTCGATTCCCAGACCTGGGGGCTTGAAACTCATACTCATACTCATGCATACATATGCATGCATGCCCAAAATCCCCAGAGGAGAATGGAGGAGAAGGGACTGTGGCATGGCCATTCCCACTGGGGGTGATTTCTTGCTTTTTGTCTCTCTGTGTGTCTGGCAAGTGCACAAGCCCTGTAGCAAAATTCACTCAAAAAAAAAAAAAAAACACAAAAAAAAAACCCACACTGGGAACAAAAAAAAAAATCATAGAACTATACACCTACTTGGGACCAGCAGATGGCGTAATGGTTAATGTCTCTGGACTTCCACATGACCAACCATGGTTTGAGTCCCAGACACGGTGCTTGAAACTCACACCAGGCATGTGAGCCCCAAATCCCAAGAGGAGCCTAGAGGAGAAGGGGCTGTGGCATGACCATCCTCCCTGGGGGGTGATTTCTCATTTTCTGTGTCTCTCAAGAGTGCACAAGCTCTATAGTAAAAATCTCTCTTAAAAAAAAATGTATACCTACAAAAGAGGAAATTTATACCCAGTAAATCAGACTTTTCTGAGTTTGAAAAGAATGAAAGGATGGTCTAAGACGCAGCCAATAAACATTATCCTAACGAACACAGCATGGCTGTCTGCACCCACAAGGCTGGATTCGATACAGACCCCATGGAAAGAGAGAAGGCGGTGTTCTCGAGAGCCCTCCACAAGCGGGTACGGTGGCGTGCCTGTGTGCCCCGAAGGGCACTGCAGATGCAAGAGCACACGAGTAACTCCAAGGGGAGAGGCCAGCCACTGCTGCCGCCTGCTCAGACGAGGGGGGACCGCCACAGGAGTGTGCAAATGCGAGCCGTCACAATCCTGCACCTACTCCACAGGGTACTCACGGTAACACACGCCCTTCAGCACGGCAGCTAGGGCATGCCGAGCACCACGAGATAGTACGGAGGGGTGCCACTACCCTGTGGGCAGGTCCTAGTTAAGTAAGGGCTGGTGGGAGCCGGCAGGACCAGGCTGCCCGAGAGCTGGGCGGGCAACACAGCTGGATACCCGGTGTGAAGACCCGGCAGTTCCCCGAGAGAAGTTAGGCCAGGTGAAGTAAGTGCCAAGGTGACCAGGAAGGCACTGTGGGTAAACAGAGAACAGCCTGTGAATGTGCCTCTCTGCAAGGGCCCACCATGAACAGGTGGCCTGGCTTCCTGTGGACAGAACCCCACACTGTGGCATTAGGGGGCCTGCCCTGCGACTGTAGAAAAGAGACTGCTGTCTTCGGGTGGGGCATTTTCTGGCTCGAGTTGATGACTGAGGACAGGACAGCTTATCTAGCACACAGGGCACCACTGCATGGCGGCACGGTGGCCGGAAGCTGGTGCGGGATCACAGGCCCCAGCCGGCTGGCCCAGCACGCCCACCTGCAGGTTCCAGGTCTGCTTCACATATTCCCGGATGAGGTTCTCCTTCAGGTCCTCGAAGGGCCCGGTCTTGGGCTGGACGCCCGGGGGCCGATTGAAGGGCTTCTTGAGGAGGCAGACGAGGCCGTCGGACTCCTGGGAGTGGTAGCGGCACAGCTCGGCCGGGCTGCCGTGCGTCCTGCCGCCGGCGATGGCGTAGGTGCCGTTCAGCTCGCGCTCGATGGTGTAGTGGTGCGCCTTCCGCCCGTGCGCCACCGACAGCGCGAAGCCGCCCAGGTAATTGCGGCTCTGGCGCAGCAGGTAGAGCCCATCGCTCATGCCTCCCTGCACCAGGTAGTCTTCCGCCTCCTCGCGGGTGATGTTTCCGAAGAAGAAGGGCAGGTCGTTGGCGCTGTCAGCCATGCCGCTGGCCATCCTGCCCTTCACTGGGGTCTACCTGGGGCGAGACAGAAAGGGACGTCCATGAGGAGCCCAAGAAGCAAAGAGCGTTTGCTGGAACCGCCCACGCCTTGAAACTGGAGACCGGGCCTGGTGGCGGAGGGGTTGATGGGCGAAGCACCCACACTGCCAACTGCCAGCCCGTCCCAGACGCTGCAGCTTGGAATGGGGGCCCACTGGGTGCCTGTGTGCCCAGGATCCCAAGAGGAGAATAGGGGAGAAGGGATTGGAGCCCTGGGGGTGACTTTTCACTTTTGCTCTTTCTTTCTCTCTGGCCAGTGCATGTGCCCAATAGCAAAAATCTCTCTAAAAACTAAAAACAAACAAACCTGGAGAAAGACCACTCACGCGGTGGCTGGACTTCCCTCCTGCTCACCAACGCCGGTCATGTCCGAACACACGCTCTGAATACGTAGCCCAAATCAGAGCAACACGTGAAACTGACCAAAGTAACTGGGTTTTGCTTTGTTTTTGGTAGAGACGAAGCATTCTAAGAGACAGCTCTAAAGAGAGAAGGAGCTCGTGAAGCCACTGCACGCCAGGAGCTGCAGCAGCACACAGGAGGCGGCAGCCTAACCAGCTGTCCTGCTCAGGCAGGACCTTGTTATTGCAAAGTTCATTGACTTCTTTCACGTGCGAGAGAGTGCACGCGAGAAATTCTGAGAGCCACGGACAGGCGCCCTTGGCAGGGCCTTCTCACGCTGTGGTCCCCATGCCCCGCCCTCCTGCTAGTCCGGATCCCATGCACACGTGCTATGTTTCAGGCCCACTCGGAAGTCCAAGCCCGTGGTTGACCAAGTGACTTCCAGCGCCACAGATCAGCACACTACCACCTGCACCACCGAGGCTGGGCCAGATCTCGACATTTAAAAACTGTTCAATGGTAGCAGATGCATGAAAGAGAACAAGAAAGACCACCTCCGACATGGTCCCGTTACACTACGACCCCCTCTACTGGCCCTCTGGCTTCTCAAGATGCCGGGTGCCCACACTGTGTTTTCAGGCTGACCTGGGTGTGAACTCACGGCTGCCATGGGGATTCTACCCTTTGCAGGGCACCTGTGTCACTGCTGAGCCACAGTGACTAGACACCTGAAAGGAAAAGACGTCACAGGTACATTGCCGGCGAAGGTGTCAGCACTTTTGTGCCTGAGCGGAAGAGACTTTGTGTAGTCACAGCCGTAGCTGACCCTGAGGGCTGAAGCGAGTCGCGTTCATAGACCACGCACAAGTGGGACCTGTGGTCACCAGACCTCCCTACCTTCGGCCTCGGGTGGGAGACGGACAAGCCACGGCCCGAGGCACGAAGAGCGACATCTCCCCAGAGTCCCCTCCCTGCTCTTCTCCAGACGGGCAGCTGAGTGAGGCATCCAGACCACTCCCTGGGTTCTGCCGTTGCCCACGGGCACGGCCGATGTTAGACCGTGCGGGCCCCACAGCTGATGAGAACCCACACAGATAAGACCTTCCTGTGCCAAACACGCACACTTCAGGAGAGAGGGGTGAAGGTGGTCGATCACAGTGTTTCTCTGCATCATGGCTGTAAATGAGAAGGATTCCTGGATCAGCTCCACAGCCTCGTGGCTAAGGGCCCTGGATCCCACATAATCAACCACGAGGTTTGAATCCTGGCCCAGGAGGCTAGAAAGCCACACTGGGTACGTGTGTGTGCATGAGTGCCCGGAATCCAGGCAGAGCAGACAAAAGTGGGAGAAGGGATTGTGGCATGACCATGGCCTAGTTGGAGGTGCTTCCCCCCTGTCTGTCTGTCTGTCTGTCTGTTCCTATGACTGCACATGCCCTCTGGGGAGTAAAAAAAAGAGAAGAAAAAAAGAAAGAGGAAAGGATTCATATTGGCAGTGTAAAAAGTATCGCCAAGCACATATTTTGTTTTGAGAGACTTTGCTATAGGGCACATGCACTTACCAGAGAGACAGAGACAGAGTGAGAAATCACCCCCTAGGAGGATGGCCACACCACAATGCCTTCTCCTCCATTCTCCTCTCAGGATTTTGGACACACACACACATGTGTCTGACATGAGTTTCAAGCTGCCAGGTCCAGGACTCAAACCATGGTCAACCACGTGGGAGTCCAGCACCTTAACCACTGCATCACCGCTGGCCCCCAAAGTACACATTTTAACAAAGAAGGGCTGGTCATCAACGGAGAAGAATTTAAATGACGCCATCCGTCCATCTGGGGAGAAAAGCGCGCCCCTCACGCTCTCCCCATGCACACAGGCACTGTGTGAGTAAGGGATTGCCTCTTCCCAGCGTGCTTGGTCCTGCAAGGGCTGCAAAACACAGGGACGCTGGCCCGGGAGCAGAACTCCCTCCAGTCGGTACTCTGCTTGGCAGGCGGGTGAGCCGCTCACAGGTGTGAGTGTCCTTACAATGTGACAGCATGGTCATTTTTTGTTTGCGTACTTCTCCAGACTTTTGGCTATCAATGACTTGTTTTCCTTTCCCAACAAGCTTCTCTAAAGGTACCTCCACTAGTTTTGTCAAGGACCGTCCATGTTTGCTATGGCCAAGGAGACGCCCACCACTGGGAAAACCGGGCAGCTGCGTCGTACGGAAGGAGCCTTCTCCTCCGATTCGCTTTTCCTCTTGGGCTAATCTTCCCTAGACGTGTTTACTGCAGGCCCGGGCCCTGCCCGCTCCTGAACGAGGGAGGTCCTGAGCCCTGCTTTATCACACTCTGCTCTTCCTGCAGCGGGTCTTCCAGGGCCTCGGCTATCACTTCTCGCTCGTCTCCAGCTCCGGCCCAGGGTATCTTGAGCTTTCACGTGGGTGCGTGTCACTGGGGAACTGTCCCAGCACAAGGCCTGGGACCTGATGGTAACGATCCTGGTGCTGCCACCTGAGGTCCAGCGTGACCGTCCTGACCACACTCTCAGCGTGCCGCCTGCTTGCCCCGTAGGCGCTGGCGAGGAACTGAGGCCTGGTCCGTGCAGCTCAGGCGCATCTTGCAAACAGGCTGTGCATGGTCGTGACTCTGGACCCATGGCCACCACCTGGCCTCCCACCATCACCTCAGCCTGGCCTTCATCCCCTCACCTCCACACACTACGACCTTGGTGGTTCCTTCTGCCTCCAGCTCCTGCTGCCGACCCCCTGCACCGGGCAAAGTTCGTCACTGATGTTTGACGTGAGCCCCACGTTGTGGCATGGCCATGGTGGCGAGGCCCTGGAGCACTTACACACCTGGCAGCTTGCCTGGCCCCTACCCCGGCACAAGGCAGAAGTTCTGTACGTCCTGGAAGGCCCATGACACAGTCCCTACAGGCGAGCGGCCCTGACTCCGTTTCCCTGGGGAGGAGAGGTGTCAGCACCGCCCAGCACGGCCCAGCGGTCCGTTTCTGACTGTGATTTCCTGTGCAGGAGGTGACCTGGGTGCAGGCACTTGGCAGTTGGTGGCAGTGTTTGGACAGGAGAACTGGCCCTAGCATGGCCGGCCTGCGGCACATTCCTGGTCCGTTCAATCGGGCGCATAATCGCCGTCTATGGCCTCCCTGTACACCGTCTCAGGGCTGGCACCAGCTCGCGCCCACTTCCAGGCCTAGCCAGGTCTCCAGCCTCCTCTCCCCTGGCTCCCTTGAAGTGGGATGGGCACCTTCACTCCAGCCTCAGGACCCAGACCGCTGTCCCGGCAGCTTGCGGGGATTAGCTCTCACTCGGTGACAAACACGGGCTGACCTTTCCACGTGCCCATGGCCTGGCCACGCTGCAGCATCTCTGTGGTTCCACCCACTGAGCAGGGCACAGGGCTAGTCATGTCCCTTGCGCATGCTCCCTGGTGTGCCCTTGAGCTCGGCCACACCCACCCGTTGCTCCTCCCACCCACCCATTGCTCCTCCCACCCACCCGTTGCTCCTCCCAGGGGTTCAGGACCGCCCTCTCCTCCAGTTGCAGAGGAGCCTGCCCTCCAGTTCGTTTGCACCCACGGGGTAATTTCTCCTCAGGGACATTTAAAACGTGCTCCCTACTTTCTGTTCATTCATCACTCCCGGCGACTTTGCTCCATGTGTGCAACTATTGGGTCGTCAGGGAAGTCATGACACATCCGAGCAGAGAAAAACATGCCATGACTTTCCTGACAACCTAAGACTTTCTCCAAAAGCACACAAGTGAGAAAGAAAAAAAGGCCTTTGGTTCCCACAGCCCAGGCCCCGGCCCTCCACCGCAGCTGTGCAGCCAGCGCCTGGTCCCGTGCCTCAGCACACACCGGCACAGGTGGCGGGCGACAGGAGGCGGCAGGAGCCAGCGAGTGCCTCAACACGTGGAGGATGGCCCG